CGCCTCGCCGCCGCCGTGCGCGCCCACGCCGCCGCCGGAGACCTCGCCCGCGCCTTCGCCGCCGTCAAGCACGCCCGCCCCGACGACGTCGGCCCACCCGCTCTCCTCGAACTGCTCGCAGCCGTCACCAACGCCGGCCAGGTCAAGCGCGCGGCATACGTCCTGCACGTCCTGTTTCCGCGCTATTCTGTCCCGCCCGCCCGAGACGCTTTCGTCATGTATGTCGACGCGTGTGGAAAGGTCGGCAATTGGACAAAGGCCGTGGACGCCCTCGCCGTCCACGCGTTTGACCGCCTGCGCAACGACGGGAAGACTGTCGTGTATGAGCGGGTCGTCGACGCGTGCGTTAGGTGCGGCGAGTTGGAGACGGCGGAGAGCCTGGTCGCTAGGATGAGGAAGGAGGCTGTGCCGCGGTCAGAGCAGATCTATGTTAGCTTGGTGAATGGCGCCGCGAAGGCCTCTCCGGTGGACCGTAGTCTGCGCATTCTCGACGCCATGAGGCGGGACGGCTTTGTGCCGCATAATATCCGCATGTACAACGCCCTCATACACGGTTGCTCGCATGGAGGGAGGCTACGCGATGCGATGCGCTTGTATGACACTATCGAGAGGGAGGGCATGCGCCCGAACTTGGACACGTTTAACGCACTCCTGGCGTGCTGCGCCCGCGCCTCAGACCCGGTGCAAGCCTTCGAGATGCTGAGGAGGATGCGCGAGGAAGCGGCGATCACACCGAACGCGAAGACGTATAACTGGGTCGTTGTCGCGTGTGCGAGGGTTGGCGATGTCACGAGCGCGTTCAGGGTCGCGCGCTTGATGCGTGATGACGGTATTCGCTTGAACGTTGTTACTAACAACAACCTCATCGAGGCCTGCTGCAATGCCGGAAGACTGGAGCGCGCCTTCGTGCTGGTCAGGACCATGATCCAGGAGGAGAGGGTCCGCCCAAACTCGCATACGTACAACACCTTGATCCGAGGCTGTGGCAGGTGGGGGCAGCTGGACGCCGCCTTGCGCATGCTCAACTCCATGCGCTCGGCGGGCGTCTGTCCGACCGTCATCACCTACTCCGTTGCGGTCGACGCCTGCGCCAAGGCGGGGGGCGCCGTCGCTCTGCAGCGCGCTTTCGAACTCGTCGACGAGATGCAGGAGAACGGGCTGGAACCCAACGTCGTCACGTACAACTCCCTCATCCATGCCTGCGCCAAGGCGAAGGACGCGGACAAGGCCTTCGCCGTCTTGGCACGCATGCGCGAAGAGCAGGTGAGACCGGACACCGTCACGCTGTGCTCGCTTGTTGACGCCTGCGGTCGCGCCGGACAGGTCGCGCGCGCTTTTCGAGTCATAGAGCAGCTGCCGGGGGAGTGCCCTTCCGTGCACAGGCCGACTGTTCCTGTGTACAACGCCCTCATCAATGGCTGCGTACGGGCTGGCGACATCGACGGCATGGACATGGCATTGCGGAACATGACGCGGTATCAACTTCGCCCCAACGTCGTGACCTTCTCTACTGTCATCTCGGCGTATGCTGCTTCTGGGGACCTGGACAAGACGGGCGCCGTTTTGCGGGACATGAAGAGCGCGGGATACCATCCTAATCAGCTCACGTTTACTTCGATCATCGCAGCTTACGGGCATCAAGGTAGGATCACATCCGCGATGGAGATGTTCGAGGAGGCCAAACGGTCATGTGGAGAGCCTGATGAGGAGTTGTACACCTCTGCGATCGTAGCAGCGATTGTGGGAGGTTGTGTCAACCTCGCGTTGAAGTTGGAAAAGGAAATGAAACGCGCTGGTTACGTGCTCCCGTCCGTGCTCAACGGGATGATGCGACGTGTGGGTGATGTCGAGCGCAGTGGAACGGAACTGCGAAATATACTCAGGGCGATGGAGGCCTTGAAGATATGTCCCCAGCGAGCAGCTTTAGAGTCATTGATAGCTGCATACGCCAAAGACGGTGACGTGGCAGCTGCATTTGAGGTCCTGCCAGATATGGAACGCCATGGCTGTCCCCCCAACCTGCAGACGTACAAAAAGCTTATCCAAGCTTGCGCCGATAGCGGCAGCGCAGCTGATGTTGAGAGAGCGCGATCGCTTTTCATGAACCTACGGTCCCGCATTCCAGACGACGACTATCGACTGCATTCCTACAGCTGGGTAGAGCTCTATGAGGCCATGGTGAGAGCGGCGGGCGGCGACGACGAGTTGCAAACTTCGCTGCTTCAGCGAATGGCGAGCGACTGCGGACCGGCCAAGGCGCAAGACCTTGCCAGTCGCCTTGTCTCAACTGGAAAACGGGCTAGCGAGGAACTGATGCAACCCTCATGATATCAGGTGTTTATTGCAGGTCAACGGTTGGGAGAGGTGAGTCGGATGGTACGTAGTCGGATGGTACATATAGAATAGCGTTGGCGTTGCTTAAGAATGGTGGATGCCAACCGTATTTAAGAGAAAAAAAAAAGAGAAAAGTGCGGTTCATTTACAGTCGTCCAGTGCAAACACTCATGCGTTGGTCTGAGAGTTCCATCGAAAAGCGGATCTCTGCGAAAGTCACTTGCGCCCGTCGGAGTCATGCAGTAACCCGTAAACTTCCCCCGTCTTCTATTCTTCTACAAACTGTTCTTTCTGTCCGTCGAGAATGAGCTGTGCTAAAAAAAAAAACCTTCCCATGTGCCCACACTTTTCCCCTTCCAATTCAGGCACGCAATTGAAACGATGTACAAGCGAAGAGGGTATGGATCGCTGCACCGTGACAAGAAGCCCTTGAGAGCACACTCCACCTAGGTCCGCGTTAGAAACCGTAGTCGGGAGGAGCCACTGGATTAATGGACGGCATGAGTGATGGGTAGTTCAGGTTGTCTGTACTATATACATTGACCATTGCATCGAGGTCATCGCACGGGAGCTGATGGTCAATATCTTCCGATGCACTTGTGGAGTTGCCGAATGCTGCCGCGTCGGATGCTGCCGCGTCGGATGAAGCGTGATTTACGACGCTGAGGTCCTCGTTATGGCCGGGTATAGGTAGGATGCCGACATCTTCATATCCGGGAAGTATGACTCCAAATTCAGGAAGTGGCGGCTCGTCAATCCCAAAATCATTGCTCCCAAGCCCAAACAGAAAGGGAGGTAGAGGGCCGCAATTAGGAGACACGGAAGGCTCGCTTTTGTGACGCTTGTGAAGAGAACGATGTGTGGGGCTGTCGGCATCGTTTAATCGACGTCTCCGAGAGAAACTCGGGCTCTCTGTGGTACTCTTGAGCTGATCAGGACAGCCGAATAATACTGTTGTCGGGGACTCCGATTCAATATCGTAATCAGTTTCTTGATCGTACTGAACCAAGTCATCTCCATCTGCAGTCGTCGAATGTGGCTTTTCATCGGCGCCGAAGCTCCCGTTTTCGGGCAGCGCATCAATGTTCCGAGGGGACACGGCACGCCCCCCAGAGGAAAAAACTGAAGACAGTTCCTGGAGTTCAATGTCTGTTCGCTCTACGTACAATTCTGATTGCGGGTGAGATTGCTTGTGAGTCCTTTTCGAAAGCAAACGGTTGCGACTAAGCTCGTCCATGGCATCGTGCTTGTCTTTCGAATCTTGAATGAACATGCCTCCCGTGACGGCCGACGATAAACTCGCAAAACTGCCTCTCTTTGTCTCGTGGTCCGCAATAGCCCCCACATATCTTTTTGACGTGCCTCTCAAGGTAATATTTCGAGATAAGTAGTCCTTCCCATGTCTCGATGCTTTTGACGAGGACACGTTATGGGTATCATACATCACATCCTTCCAGGGGTTTGATGTCGGGGAGTGGGTGTCTTTCACTGAATTCGACGTGTGTTCTGCTGCTTTTGTGACATCCGAATGTGATGTCGCGGATGTACGCTCGGAAAGTGTAGTTTTCCGGTTTGTCGGCACGTGCATAAGACCTCTCCCATCTGGACGAATCTTCCTTTTGATTGTTGAGTTCCAGTGATTCTTGATAGCATTGTCAGTTCGACCTGGCAAGTGCCTCGCAATCTCCGACCATCGATTGCCATGCGTTCTGTGCAAGTCAACCAGCGTCTCGTCTTCGGCAACGCTCCACGCCCCCTTCTTGATATCCGGATTGAGATGATTCAACCATCTTTCTCGACATTGCTTCCCTGAGCGACTTGTCATGCGAGTCGCTAAGCTCGTCCAGTTGCGAGGTCCGTGGGCATTGACGAGGCTGATGAGCATGGCGTCCTCATCTTTCGTCCACGGTCCTCTTGCAAAGCTATCATTGTCGGATGAACGACCCATATCCCGTCGGGTGATACAGGTCTATGAACTGACGGGACATGCAAAGTACTCCTCCTGACACTCGCAGCGTTGAAGCGGAGTGGATACCCAGACCAGAGTCCAAGAATCACGGTCGCAACAGAGGGAGGAGAGAGGGACGACAGAGAGAAAGCGGAGAGCGTGTAGTTCCGAAAACCTCCCTCCACTTTGGGTCGCACTATCTACATGAAGCACAAGGTGAAACATGAAATGCCGGTTAGTTATGACGTTGTACATCAAACTATGAGGTTGTGATAGACCTCTCCGGGATGGGGCGAATGTGTAAACTATTGGAGGGTTTGGACGGGACCTGTCGAGAGGCCCATGACATTAGAGTGGTGGGCCTTAAACTATAGGGCGTGTGCCAGACATCGGTGGAAACGAGTGAGAAAAAAAGCAGTGGTGGGGTGATGCGGGCAATGCAGGATAAGAATTGCGATAGGCGGAGCTGCCCAGCTATGATACAGTAGATGGGCAAGGGGTGCAGGCGGGGGAGGAGATGGCAGTCACCCGAGTTTGACAGTGAGCCAATACGAGTGCGTAGAGGGCCCAAATGAACACAACTTACAGCTTATAGACAGGGCATATCACTGAGTAGTTATAACGCCATTCCGAGGGCTCCAGCATGTGTCGAAAGGAGTTTTCTTGTAAGGAAATAGGAGTGGCCCGCAAGGAATGGCAGCAGCGTATCGAAGAAAATAGAAATTCAATATGTTATAATTTGAACGACTTGAGTTGACCAAAAGCAGGGTGCTTGTTTTTCGGGACATGTCGGGACGGCCGACGGGAAAGGGCTGGGGTTGGAATGTCACCAGAGAATAAGGGAGTTTGGATGCTGGAGGATAAAGCGCAGGGGGATTGTGGAATGGCCGGGAATGCGTTGTTGGGCAGTCGGAGAGGATTTGTATATGAAGACGAGTGGAAGACGACGCAAGAAATGAATGGATGACTTCTTTACTTGGTTGTCATTGCTACTCTTGGAAAGAGTACGGAAAGAGCAGGTTAGTTGAGAGAAAATCGGTAAATGAAGCGTGCAGTTTGGGGTATGGTGCGAAAGGAGAGTGTCGGGGGTTGGTAGCCCTGGTAGGGGAAAAACATGTTGCATGATTGTATTGTACGCTGGCGGCAGGGATGGTATCAATTGGTGGAGGCGTAGCACAATTCCCAGATTCTCGAGATCTGAGGTGTGGACAGACATGCAGAGGCGACTGTGATGGGTTACCTTTGGCCCACTCGCTGCGGCCTGTGCTCGGGGCATGGCAAGCGCGGCACATCCACCCTTAAATTTCTTCAACAAAATCACACTTCTCCGGGCCATCGCAATGTCACTGGGCCCAATCAAAGTTCGAGATATTTTAGGTGCAGTACAACATGCGCCGTGTGCATCCATTGTCTCTGCTACACCTCTTGCTCTCCGCCCATCCACTCCCCTACTCCACTAAATTCATTCAACACTAAGCACACCATCCCCCGCCCGTATTGCATCCCGGTATTGCATCCCTGTCTAACGCCAGCCAAATCAATACCTGTATGCACTTCCTGCACATTCCCTTTTAACTTTTAACCTTCAATCCAAATCTTCAATACTTTGCTATTCGGCTTTCGTGCATGACCTTGCATATTCACCCTGGCCCGTTAGCAAACCTGATGCTGACCAATATTCTCTACACAACACAATGTCCCAGTCTCGCTGCAGTCTCGCTGTTTGCCCCGAGCATCTGCACCCGCGTCATAGAATCTATCCTATCAACAACCCACTGCCACGTCGGGTAGACCCCCCGGCCTAGCCCCCTTCATCAACGCATCTCCTGAACGCGTGTACATTAATAGTACCTTTCATATTTGTCTGCGAAAGCATCTCTCCATCATGCGACATCTAACCGGCATACAGTGGCTTGCAGACTATTCCGTCTACACATTTGTTCAATCCCAGTAGACACGTGCTGGCCTACATTTTCCACGTCGTCGCACCTGCATAGTGACAAAGACAGATACACCGCCCACCCCGCAATACTGTCCCGACTGCGCAGCAAAAGCATCTGTGCATTCAGCAGGGATTCCCGCTATAAACAACAGCATTCCAATTCTCGCCCCCCAGTGCTTGTTTCTCGCAGAAAGGCAACACTGCTATGAGGAAGCAAAGGAGTAATGGGTCTTCGTGGCAATCATTACTCGTTTGCTTTCTGGTTTGAAACATTCGTCAAGGTGCACATATGCGCCAGATCGCTAGCCTTTTATTTTCCATAATCCCATTGATCGAACGCTCCATAATTTTTGAAAACAACTCGGGTGCGCTGGCAACTTGCTGCACCCCATGCGCCAAAAGTGAGTGGGATGCCACAGCGGTCTATGCCGCAGCGCCCTCGCTTCCCATTGTATAATCAGGGCGTCTTCTACCTGGCTTAGTCTCTATTTTTGTGGGAAGCTAGGAAAACACCAACTGTTCATGACTTTCCTCATCCAGAATATCACATTATAAACACCAACCGCGACAGAACTATCTACCCATGATTCCCTAAGAACTGGAACTGGGACTCGAGGTGTTAATATAAAGGCCGCTGGAGCTCCCGTGCTACAGACAGCGATGCGAGGAGACATGGGTAGAACAGCGACTTTTCCGTCCTAAAGACCTGGTCTTGTCCCATCGTCCCGCAAGCGCGGTTTGTGTTCGGAATATTTCCGACCGGAAAGCGGTAAGGGCTGTTAGCGCACGTAGATTAGTGACTATTTCTTCTATTTCAAAAATTCAATACGTCACCCATTTTGTGTGGATAGAGAGCGGTCCCTGGCTTCCACTTGCAAACCTGTGAGTATAGATTGCGATCTCTGAAAAGAATCAAGGTAATGACCAAAGCGACTCATCTTGTCAAGCCTGCACCACAGCTTGTGGTAATCTTCTTCACATGATGGAAACTTCCCAATAGATCAGCGGCATGCTGCACGGCATCAGTGTAAGAATTTGCTTCATGGGTGGACGCAGACCCGCCAGCCCACTCTTTTTCCCAGGAAAAACAGCGTATAAGTCGTTCTTGTGCGCAAGAATAGTGCCCTTTCCACCCATGCAAGCGTTTACACCGCATGCCGCTCAGTTGGGCTTCATTACTGGCTCCCACACAAGAAAGTCCAGTGCTCCACTCTTCGACGCGGGAAAGAAACATGTGGGCCGAAAAAGTTTCAGTACGCGCTGCAGTATAACTTCGCAGAAATGAAGCCTGATCCATACAACGAAATAACATATGGAATCAATTCCGTGGAAGCGATTAATAGTTGGCACGCGGACACGTGCTTCGCAGTTAGCATATGAGGGCGGCAGCTATAGCAAAGTGACACCAGCCTTTGTGAGAGCATCTCGCGACCACTTGGGATATGCCTTATCAGGATACAAATCGAGCATAAAGTTCTGCACAAACTGCTCAAACGTGCCGTCTATTATTGCTTGGCGGGCGCGCTTCATAAGGGTTGTCAAGTAAGCAATGTTATGCAACGTCAACAGTTGGGCGCCAACCGAGGCGTCCACAGGGGCGAGAAAGTGCAAATAACTCCTCGAATAGTTGCGACAAGTGTGGCACTGACAGCCGACCTGGACCGGGCGGCAATCCGTGGCCATGCTCGCGTGACGAATCTTGAGCAGTCCGGACGGGACGAGGGCGGTGCCGAAGCGAGCTGTACGGGCCGGGTAGACGCAGTCGAACATATCGGCGCCTAAGGCGACGCAGACGACGAGGTCCTCCGGGTAGCCGACGCCCATGCAGTAGCGCGGCTTGCGCGGGGGAAGGATGTCGGTGCATTGGTCGACGACCTTCCAGAAGACGTCCTTTTCCTCGCCGCCGGACAGGCCGCCGATAGCGTAGCCCGGCAAGTCGGTCTCGACGAGGCCCTTGCAGCAGAGCTCGCGGAGGCGGTGGTCCAGGCCGCCCTGGACGATGCCGAAGAGGTTCTGGTCCGTAGGGCGGGCGTGGGCGTTGATGCAGCGTCGGATCCATCGCAGGGTGCGGTGGCAGGCGTCCTCCACGCGCGGGCCGACGGTGGTGCTCGGCACGACGTCGTCCAGGGCCATGATGACGTCGGCGCCGATGTGGTTCTGGATGTGGATGCTCTTCTCCGGGGTGAGCAGCATCTCCGTGCCGTCGACCGGGCTCTGGAAGTGGACGCCCTGCTCGGTGACGGTGGAGAACTTGAGCAGCGAGACCATCTGGAAGCCGCCCGAGTCGGTCAGGATGGCGCGCGGCCAGTTCATGAAGCGGTGCACGCCGCCCATGTCGCGCACGACGTCGCCGCCGGGGCGCAGGGCGAGGTGGTACGTGTTCGCCAGGACGAGCTGGGCGTCGACGGTCGGGTGCAGCAGCTGGTCCGGGTGCAGCCCCTTGATGGCGGCTTGCGTCCCCACCGGCATGAACATCGGGGTGAGCGCGCTGTGGTGCGGGAGATGCAACGTGCTCGCGCGGGCTTTGTTCCAGGTGGCGTGGATCTCGAGGCGCAGCGCGGGGGAGGACGGGCCGCCGTAGCACGGCGGCGGTGGCTCGACGGCCATAAAGAGGAAGAGGGAGAGGGAGAGGGAGAGGAGAGGGGGCGGGCCGTGAGGCTGACTGTTCGTTTGAACGAGGTGATTAGAAGGATGTAGATCGGGGGGGGGTATCATGAGAACTCATGAGAACGGCGATGATGAATTGTACAGTACACAGTGTACTGTACAGGGGTCACCCGTTGACAACTCGACTTTACAGTACCAGCACGGTACACTGTACCGGCCTTGAACGGTACCCCATGGCGAGTCCTCCTGCCTGGTAATACAGCACGAGACTCGGAGTTACTAAAATCGTATGCGGGCCCGGCAGTCCTCGAGAGTATGTACACGGGTCCACGTGTGCACCTTGCCACGTCACCGAGAAAAATTCCCTGACTTGGCGTTGCTTACATCATCAAGTCGCGCTTACACTGAGCCGTCTTGGCTCCCGCAAGCCGAAAGAGTGGCTCACGCGACGCCTGCCTCGCCTTCCCGAACGGGCACCGCGTTTGGCATGCAAGCGCCCAATCACCGCGCTTGCGCATCGAGTCCCCTTGTTCAACAACCCGGTTGACGTCAGCAGCCAACCCACACCTCCACCCATCCCCCCCCCCCGCCACACCGCCCCCTGCTTCCGCTTCAGGCACAACTTACCGTGTCGCTCGCTGCCCCCTCCCTACTTACCGCCCGCCCCTCCGACCCCCGCCCCTCCGACCGTCGCCCCTCCGATCCGCGCCCCTCCGACCCCGACCGCGCCGCAGCCCAAGCCGAGCCCCTCGCCCCCGTCGCCCCCCCCCCCCGTCGCCCCGTCTGCGCGTGGCACCCCTCCGTCTCTCCGCTTCCCCGCCGTCCGCCGCCGCCTCCCCCGCGCGCCCCGCCCGCCCGCCGCCATGTCGGACATCATGCACACCTCGATATCGCAGCAGACGTTCTCGTCGGCGCCGTCGCTCGACGACGACGACAACATGTCGGTCGCGTCGGACATGTCCGCCGCGTCCAACCTCACGGTCACGCGCACCATCACCCGCCTGGAGGACTTCCCGAGGCACCGCCCGCCGCCCATCGGCACCGTGCTGGAGGAGGAGACCCCGAAGCCCGTCCAGCTGGTCGTCGAGTTCCTGGGCGGCGCCGCCGCCACCTCGGACAACACCCGCGACTACATCGACGCCCTGTACTCGGAGCCCATGGAGGTCTCGGTCGAGTGCCAGTTCCTCCCCAAGATCGACATGTTCTCCAACACAGACCCGTTCGTCGTGCTTCACATGCGCGACACCCCGCGCGACCCGTGGCGACAGCTCGGCAAGACAGAGGCCTTGACTAACTACCACTTCCCCAGGTTTGTCACCAAGTTCGCCTTCACCGCCCTGCCGGACCAGGACATGGACAAGGAGCTGCTGGTCAAGGTTTATGGCAAGGGCAGCATGAAGAAGAGCATCCCGCTCGGCCATGCCATGTGCTCCATCTGGGATGTCGTTTGCGCCCCGGGACAGTGCAAGGTCATGAAGATGGATTCCATCAATCAGAAGAAAGAGACCTGGGTCATTCTCTCGGGCGACACAAAACGCACACAGGGCGCCGACCGCGTCGTTAATATTAATGTCAAGTTTGATAAGTCGGTCAAGCCGAAGGCGAAGACCTTCTTTTTGCTCAACCGCTCACTGAAGAAGGCCCGGTGGACCCCGGTGTACAGGTCGGAGAGCCACGGCAGTCCCAACCGCGAGTTTAAGACCGCTACCACCTCGTTTGCCGATTTGTTCAGAGGGGAGGAGAGCAAACCCATGCGCCTCGAGTTTTATCAAAAGCGCTCAGCGATTGATCCTAAGCTTATTGGATTTGTGCAGGTTTCCATTAAACAACTGCACGCGATGGAAGAGGGCAAGGTGTTGCAATGGTGGTCGGGGCAAGGGGGGAGCGCCCCGGGCCTCGTCGTGCTTGCGAAGAAGGAAATTACGGAAGAGTCGATTGACCTATGGTTTGCCGTCACGAATGAATAGAGTTTACGCTGCCTCCGGAGGTTGCATGACGGGAGGCCAGCGTGCCTGTCGATGACGTTTTGAATATGGCTGAGTAGCTTGGTAGTGCAGGTGGTGTCGGTGGTGTATATGGGCGAGCTTATTTGCTTGGTTTTGTGTTGTGTTTTTGTCGTTAAGAATTGCTGACCAGTGTGAGCGGTGACTAGCTGTTGCTGGCGTGCCACTTTTGTTCCTGGTTTGCTTTTGTTTTCACGTAAATGTTTAAGGATAGGTTAGCTATTGCACATAATGTGCATAGCCTGAGCGAGTTTGGTTGCGGGCGGAGTACACGGAGGGGTAGGGAGCGGGTTTATTGTTTATAACGCTTGAAGTCGGGGCTAATCAGAGGATGACGTAAGGCGTTCGGGTAGAGAAAGGCGTTCTTTTTTTGCGGGGAGGGCTTGCGGGGAGGGCATGGTCGTTCCAACCGTGGGAAGCACAGCGCTGCCTAGCACACGAGAACTCGCAGCGGAGGTCGCGGAGGTGCCACGGGTTGTTGTCGTGCCTCGGCTAGATTTCCACGTCGGTGGGGTTTCTATGCATGACGAAGCAGTTCTGCAAAGAATGCGTTTTTAGCACGACTACTGGATTGACTTGGCGATCGGCGACTCGGTATGACACGCGAGCGCCAGCAATTAGTGGCTCACGTCTCCGCTCATTCCAGAGCCGTGTTGCTCATACTCATTCATTCCTTTCCCCTCCTTTCCCCTCCTCCACTCACATCTCAGCCCTCAATTCGATCCATCAAGGAAGGCAGCAACCCCAAAACCTCAGTTCATCCGCCCTATCCCTCACCAACAAAAACATCATCGAAACATCACCGCGCCCCTCCCACCCTCCGTCTTCCCGCTCCCCGACATTGAACTTCAATCCCCTCCTCTCCCACACATCCCCACAACCACAATGCAAGCCCTCATGAAGGAACAGGAAGACGGCGGCCTCAAGCCGCCCACGGGCCTAGAGGGCCTCGACTCAGTGACGCTCACGCGCTTTGTGCTGCACGGACAGCGCAAGCACCACGACGCCTCGGGCGATCTCACCCTCCTTCTCGCCGCGGTCCAGCTGGCCTGCAAAGTCACGGAAACCTGCGTCCGCCGCGCCGGTATCGCAAAGCTCTACGGCCTAGCCGGCTCGGGCAACGTCCAAGGCGAGGACCAGAAGAAGCTTGACATCATCGCCAACGACACCTTCAAAGTCAACATCGAGAGCTCCGAACGCTGCGGCGTCATGGTCTCGGAGGAGGACGAGCTCGCCATCGTGTGTACGAAGAGCTCCATCGACGGCACGACAGGCAAGTACGCCATCGCCTTCGATCCGCTCGATGGCTCGTCCAACATTGACGCCAATGTGTCTATCGGCACCATTTTTTCCATCTTCAAGATCGATGACCCGGATTCCATCACCGACGCCAAGTCGGCCGCCGCCGCCATTTCGCAGCCGGGCCGCCAGATGGTCGCCGCCGGGTACGCCATGTACGGGTCCGCCACCAATTTGGTCATCTCCGTCGGCACCGGCGTGTACGGCTTCACGCTGGACCCGTCACTCGGCGAGTTCGTGCTGACTCATCCCGACATCAAGATCCCGTCGCGCGGCAAGATCTACTCGGTGAATGAGGGAAACGCAAAAAACTGGGATAAGGCGACGACAGAGTACATCCAGTCGCTCAAATACCCGGAGGAGGGCAAGTCAAGCTACTCGTTGCGTTACATTGGCTCTATGGTTGCTGACGTACATCGCACATTATTTTACGGAGGCGTGTTTATTTACCCAGCGGATAAGAAGTCGCCCAACGGCAAGTTGCGCCTGTTGTATGAGGCAGCGCCCATGGCGTTCTTGATGGAGCAAGCAGGAGGAAAGGCGACCACTGGCAAGACGGAAATTCTCGACATTGTACCGGAGGATATTCACCAGCGCGTGCCGGTGTACATGGGGTCGTCGGAAGATATTGCAGACTTTGAAGCTCTTGCGTCCAAGTACGCTTAAAGAGGTCTAGTGATCACGTTTGATGATCCTGGGTAAGGCTTTCACAGACAACGGTAACAAGTGCGAGATTGCGTTATGCGACGTTGAGGTTGTGCGGTGACGCCTGTCTGAGCAGTAGGCGTTGCGAGAGCGTATGTGCTCGACAATATCAGTTTGTTTGATCCAGTTGTCTGTCGTTAACAGAAAACACCTTGTAAAAGCACTTACTTGCGAAGCTGGAGCAATAAGGATGAGTCACCTCTTGTCTGACGAGTGGGCTCGTTGTTTGTTGTGTCGATAATAAGCCACGTCATTCGTGTCCGAGTCGCTCGCCATCGCGGTGTCGAGGATGAGCGGTGACGCCCATTTATTCCCCGACTGGTGGATGCAGGATTTCCTCGAAAGTTATGTACGAACAGCAGTGACCTGTGACGAAGTAAGTCTCGTGCCCCCGGTCGTCCCGCGGCGGCGGGGCGGCCGACGGCGCGCTTTTATTCGGTCCTGGCTCTGCTACCTACCTCAAATGGTGTGGTCTAGTCTGTGGCTGGCTTGTGGGTCATCACAGAAAGAATGCCATTCCCTGAGAAACAACCCTACTCACTTGCTCCACGCGTCGACGATCTTCATTTTGTGGGTCATCACAGTCCCCCTGACGCGCGGTTTGCGGGCCTATGACGGTGGTGGTTGGACGCGGAGGTTGGCACGGTGTTCGTTGAATGGCATTGGCTTCAGCGGTTTGGTCATGATGTCGGCGTACATGCGCCGGCTTGTTACGTGCTTGAGGGCAAGGAAATCTGTGGGATTTTTATCTTGAGCCTGGGCAATCGAATCGAAACATCGAATCGTTCGCTGCCCTGTTGAATCGATGCCCTACTAATGGGAGATACTGAAGGCCAACATTCCTCTCCCACCCCCCCCACCTCCCCTTCCCGACTGCGACTGGTGAGATCCCATCCAGGTCATCATCACTCAAACATGAACAGCGAGAAGAAATACGACCCGCCCGAGGCCGTTGTCCCGCCGGCCCTGAGCCAGCTTATGGATCGCGTGGCGCGCTCTCGCGTCTACGTGCGCGGCGAGGTCGGGATGAGCGACGAGGAGCGCAAGATCTTCGACTACGGCGTGACGGAGCGCAAGCGCGTCCTAGAGCACACCCTCTTCCTAGTTTTCGGGCAATGGGCGCTGTACCGGCAGCTGATCTCGCGTATCAAATGGCGCGGCGCGCGCATCGGGTACGGCGTGGCCGCCTTCACGTCGACGACCTACTTTGTCGCCGCGCGCGCGCGCCGCGTGTCGCACGAGATGTTCGCCACCATCGCCACGACGGCCACGTCGTCCGCGCTGGGGAATGAGGCCCGCGTCGTGCTCGCGGAGCTGGAGGGGCCCGATGGGCCGTACTTCAGACAGGTGTGTCGGGAAAAGGGCTTTTCAGAGGACTTGACGTCCGTCATGGCCGCGAAGGATGCGGAGGAGGGTATGGATCCGGCGTCGGATCACCTGCATCCACAGCTGAGGCTCAGGCCGAGGCTGCCGACGAGGCCGATAGGGGCCGGTCAACCGCCGCTAGCGAGGGACCCGAGAAGGGACCCCAGGAGGGAGGTTGACTTTAGACCGCAACGTGTGCAGAGAGCTCGTGGCTGGGGTGCAGGAGAAGAGGACGCAGAGGCGCCGAGAGGGGGTGTGGACCGAGGTAGGGTGATTAGGAGGGATATGAGAAGGGGCCGGGAGCAGGAGGATGTGGGAAGGATTGGGGGGCGCCCGTACGATTTTAGCAACTCCGAGTCTGGTAGTGGGATGACGAGGAACGAGAAGCAGCCGGAGGACTCTTATGCGGATGAGACGTGGGAAAGGCCATTTGACTTTAAGAAAGCAGCGGGTGCGGATGGGGATGAGTGGGGCGTGCGCACGGCGACGGAATCAGACAACGCGCCGGACGATCCGTTCGCGCAGGAAACGCACGAGGCGGAGATGACGCCGAGCCAGAGACGCGCAGAGGAGAGAAGACGGAAGCGTATGTTCGCGAGGACCAAGTCTGGCACGACGGAGAGATGAGCTCCTCCGTTGAAGGCTTAGCCCGGGCCCGCGGTGAATAGTCGCTGACGGACTTTGCCTTGCCCACGTCGGCACAGCAATTTATTTGCGAAGGGGGGCGTTAACGATCGGTAATTGTGGATGAAATTTTGTCCAGTCATTCACTTGTGCTCTTCTGTGGGATGCAGTTTTTTCAAGGGTTTCAGCGCCCCCATGCAAACCCTCTACCTCTCTGATCGACAAACTGCTGCCCTTGCAATGTCCTAAACCATCGTCCATCAGTCCAGCTCTTTTCTTCCTTTCGAGGAACATTCCATTCGCATGCACCGTCTCGCCGTCTCGGCCCGATACGCCTCGTACTTCTCGCGAGTGCACGGGCCCAAGTCTCTGCAACGTTCCGCTCGTCTCTTCCCGTCGCAACCGCTTCACCGCGCGAATTTCGCCTCCCAATCTGACGTGCCTCCCACATCGACCTTCTTCACACGTCTCCAGCGCCTAGGCCTTGCTGCCTCCCAAACATTTCAGTCCCAGTCTGCCTCTGCGCCACTGTACAATGAAAATGGAAAACAAACCGCAGCATCACCAGACGCTGCGCGAGGGACATCCACGCAAGAAGAGCCGAAGCTTGAATTATCCCGCCTGCTGCAGTTAGCAAAAGAAGAGCGTCACCTAATCGGTTTCGCCCTGAGCGCGCAATTGATTTCTGCATCCTCGATCATGCTCTTCCCATTCGCCCTAGGAAAAGTCGTCGACACCGTCTCCTCCTCAGCCCCCGAGCTGGACGCCCTCGTTGCCCTCATGGGTGGCGTCTTCGCCATCTCCGCCGTTGCCTCCGCCGCCCGCGTATCCGCCATGTCGCTGGCCGGTTCGCGTATCTCGCGCGACTTGCGTGTTTCCCTTTTTCACGCTATCATGAAGCAGGAAACCGCCTTCTTTGACAAGCGCCAGAGCGGTGAACTCGTCAACCGCCTCTCGTCTGATGTGCCGCTTGTCGCGCGTACGCTTACGGACAACTTGGCGAAAATAATCCGCGCCGGAGTCACGTCTACAGCATCACTTGGCTTTATTCTTTACTTGTCACCGACGCTCTCGCTTGTCACGCTTGGGTCCATTCCACCCATTCTGGGATTTGCCGTAATGTTTGGACGGGCTGCACGAAAGTTGTCGCGAAAACTGGTCGACGCGCTGGCTGAGGCGACGCAAGTGGCCGCGGAACGCACAAGCGCCATTCGCACGGTACGCACATTTGGGGCGGAGGATATCGAGACAAAACGGTATGCAAACCGTGTAGACGAGACGTATCACCTTGCAAAGAAGGTGGCATTTGCAGATGGATTGTACGCGGGATCCGTCCAACTGTCTGCGCAAATGTCTCTGTGCGGAGTGCTCTGGTTTGGTGGACGCATGGTTATTGATCCTTTGAACCCAATGACAATGGGGGCGCTGACGTCGTTCTCGATGTATGCTGTCAACCTAGGCGTGGCGGTGTCTGGCATGGGGACCGCTTATGGGCAGCTGACAAGAGCTCTTGGTGCCGGGCATCGCATTTTTGAAGTCATTGATCGTGAGCCGGATGGGGCCTCATCAACAATTTGCGAACAACCCCCGAATGTAGCTCATTCACAAGTGGGAGTACCCGTGAAACCGAAAGCATCCCTACGACGACTCCAGCCTGGTTATGACGCGACGGTAAGCTTCGAAGACGTTCATTTCAAGTACCCCACCCAACCGGACACCGCAATTTTGAATGGAGTGAACTTGACGGTTCGCCCGGGAGAGATTATAGCTATCGCCGGCGCATCAGGGTCGGGAAAGTCTACAATGAGCTCATTATTGTCAAGGCTGTACGAACCTACGTCAGGCACGATATCGCTTGGCAATGAACCGATTGCAAATCTAGATACGGCCTGGCTTCGGGAACAAATCGCCGTGGTAGCTCAAGAGCCAGTTTTGTTCAACGGAACTATAACAGAGAACATCCAGTATGCCATGCCTGGAGAAGTATCGATGCAAAGAATACAAAGAGCTGCAAGAGCAGCTGCAAGTCATGACATGATACTCTCTCTGCCGAACAAGTACGAAACGATGGTTGGTGAACGCGGGGCATCTCTCTCTGGTGGGCAACGCGCCCGGACTGCCCTTTGTCGTGCATTGGTTCGAGATCCCCGGGTCCTCGTGCTCGATGAGCATAGTGCCGCCCTTGATGCCGAGTCAGAGCGTGCTGTAGCGCAAGCCGTGTACACGTCTGCATCAGAATTGAACATGGCTGTGATCACAATTGCTCATCGCACTAGCTCTCTGCGCCGCGCAGACCGCGTCGCTGTGCTCGCTGACGGCGTGGTCATCGAAATCGGGTCATACGATGATCTAATGAAACAAGAAGATTCGTGCTTGAGACGAATGCTCAATCCCACGCGAACGCCGATTTAGTCTTAAATCGATGTCTAGCACTCAATTTTTCTCCTTTCAAAGAAATGCCGTCATGCATGGCGAAATAGTCGGATTTGCGGTGAGATTATCCGACACAGCGAAGTCTCGCCCATCCTGAATCACCATCCCCTCTTATACTCTTACAGAGCGTCCCGGTTCTGGGAAGCAAATGGAACCAAAAGATGATTATATATGCAAACTGATTCAGTCGGCACACTTGTACATACCTAAGCAGCTGCCGTCACGTTCAGCAGAACAATAGACCCGCTGTAGAAACATGATGCTGCAAGGCCGTTACACCATGCCGTAAGCCGACTGGCATTCACGCCTATTCATATCGGGGTCTCACACTTACTGCTTCCCTTTCAAGGAATTGGTTTGAAGCAAGGTTTGCGACAAGTTGGTCTCAATTTACATTTCGAGAACTGTCAAAAGACTGTTCAGTGTTTGGCTTTAGATAGTTGCAGTGGAGACGTACATATGATACCACTAAAGCGATACCGGTAGACCACGATTTTGAAACCCGGGCTTGCATCCTGAGTATTGCGTTTCCGTAATCAGCCTGGGCGTTTGCTTGTGTGTTTTCCCTTAAACTAGAGATTTCTTTCCGCAGAAGGTACGTGATAAGCAAGAAGTGGCATGCGGCTTTCGGGTATAAGTGCGCTGAAGGACCCGGGAGCTATAATAAGTGATACAGTGTATGAAGGCGGTTCTGTCTCCAGCGTCAGCACCCCGGGTGTAAACAAACTATTCTCTGTGCGAGCGTCACATTTATTGAATAGCATACTCCACGGCTACATCATTCCAAAACGTCTCAGAACTGCTCTCGTTTTCGAAATTGGCTTGGCTTTGTTGTTTTCTGGGGGCGTTGCATTTGACTCGCGATGCAACGAAAGGGTCCGAGATACCTTGTCAGCCTGGCTCGAATAAGCCACTGCCTTCTTGCTGTTGTTTCCTGTAGTTCCGACAAAGCTCTGCGTCCGGGAAAGCCGCTTCTGTTTGTCTGTTTTTCGTGAAACAAGTATCATAGGAGAGGAAGTCCGGTCGCTGCGTTGAGCGCCCTTCCCTTGATCTATACAGATATGCTCTTTCGTCCATTTTGAAGTTGGTCTAACACTTGGTCGAGACGGTAATGGTTCTGATAGATGTCTTGGTGGATGATCATTGTTGTCTTCAGACGATGACTTCCTTTGTACCCTATGTGCGAGGAGCGAATTGTTCTCAGACACAGTTTTAGAACGAATGGATTGTCGTCTTCCCTTTCCTTCTTTATGAAAGCCATCTTGATGCCGATGATACCTACGAGTGTCTGTCGGCAGAGAAGAAGAGCTGATTTGCGTGGGTTTTCTCAGTCCGGCTTGCAGCTCATATTTTCGTGGTGTGCGACTTGTGGATGGTACCTTTGAGCTTTTGCCGGTTGAGGATCCACTTGTATCTGATGATCTTTTTCGACCTCCTCGCCCAATCGTCCTTTCTCTTTTAGTTTCAACAGAAAGATTCTCTTTTGACTGCGCCCGAGAATGTGTTGAATCTGAGTGTGGCCTCACAAAACTTCGTTGAGTTATTCTCGAGTTGCCAGAGTTAATTTTTGCTGGAGTTATTGATTTGATAATCTTATCCCTTGATTCCGGTTCTGGCATTTTTGTTCGCCTTCCCAGAAGTGTACCCATTCGCAATGTGGTTCGCGTGCTTTCTCTTAGTTGCGGTGTTCTTTCTCCTTCCAAATTTTCCAGTTTCCCACGCAGAATGCTTGCACTTCTCTCAAGACCTCTAATAGTAGTCCTGAGCTCTTCGATATAGTCAATCGCATTTATTTCCACCATTGCACCATACATTTCCCTATCTGCGGGATCAGTTACTTTATATATAGCAATACCACCTCGTATTTGCGGCTCATGACGGCTGATACCCTTTGGTAGGTCTGTCAGTTTTGTTTTGATCAACTTTAAATGCCGCGTAGGTGCACTAGTAAACATTCCTTCTAACGGAGGAGGTTTATGAAATGGCTGAGGGAGGGAATTAGTCATTTGCCTGCGGATTCCGACTTCACGATTGTCTTCTGCACGGCTTGAATTTGAACCTTTTTGTCCAATTACAGTAGTTTTGGCTTCCGATAGTTGCAGAGGTGAAGAGACTACTTGAGAAGAACATGTTTGTGTTTCTGTTGAAAAACGAACTTCTGATAGCTTTGGAGGCGGTGGTGGAGGTGGCAGAGGCGTCGTGCCAGGGCGAGAAGTGCTTCTGTGGAAGATGGTGTCCAGTTTCGACAATGCAGACACGAATTCAACTCCGGCAGTGGCTATATGAGTTGCTCCTCCTTTGTCATGTGCTCCATCGACACCTACAACGACGTCTGTGGCGTGTAAAATTGCTGAAGCCCTTGTGAAATTTGAACTCTTGGCAAGCACTGTGCCGCTACGCTCTAGATGAAATGTGCGTGGGTGGCGGTGGGTTTTGTCCGGAGAAGATGAGAGGGCCATTCTTTTTTTTTTGAGCAGGTAGAAATTTGTCCCACCACAAAAGTAATGTGCAATATCAGCAAACGCTATTCAACTCAAGAGACACTGCGAAAGACAACGAGACTGGTTTGCACAATAATCGAGAGGCAAAGAAATCAGGCAAACAGTCGCCCACCCTCTTGACATGCAAATGTAGCTATGCATCTTCATAACTAACGTAAATGGGCTTTCTGTCCCTCTTGTTTCGACAGAACTTCCACCATCCCCAAAATATGCAAGAACTTGTAGTACTATGGGACAAAGGATATTGGGCAAGCACTTCATTGCTGTCGAATTTCTATGTAGTGGGAGAAATGAATCGAATCCAGGGACAGCTAAACTGAAAGACATTCCATAGATGCGGATGCTTTAGACTTTTCCAATTTTTACAGTTTTCTCCCATTGTTAAAAAGATGGAGAGGCCCAGTGGTTACGTAAGTGGTAAAGGACGTGCAATTTAAGTCCATAAATTAAAATGCAACGAACAATTTCTTTAATGCCCACTACATATTAGAGTATGCTTTACATTCTAAAACTGTCACAAGGGACATATGTCATTCACCTCAGAGCAATCCTATCGGGCCTTAGATATATATATATCATATACAGCAATATACAAGAGGAAGCAAGACGTGCCGCAGCACACTGATATATTGAAAACTATTTTGGGAGCGTGAAGGTAGAAGATGTGATAGGCTGCAGACGCTTTCACCTGCGCTCGTCTATGTCACATCATAAACTTTCGCGAATGCATTTTCAACAAGGTTATGAACGGCTAGCATGTCTATTGATATACCGTTGATGTCATTCATTCTTAGCGATCTATTAGAAACTTTTGCGTCCATGCTTTGCGACCTTAATAGCACACATACAATAACTTGGTTTCGTTCTGTGGACACAGTCAAGCTGCACTGGTCAAGTGCGGGGCTGTTAAATTTGATAGCGATTCAAGTGGCAATCGATAGCTCATTCTTAGTTTGGAGCACTTAAAAGCTACCGTTGGGTAATCACATTGCATACGTAATCCTCATTTCAAGTGCTGGGTACTGTTCTTCAGACAGGTCGTATCCAAGGAAAAACTGCCCACCTTACGTTGTCTATCATACGCCAATCGAACAGTGTTTTCTCATGTGATCAGGGGAGAAAACGTCCATACCTTTCAGTGAGGTGAACCTATTCGCGAGCTCATAATATCAGTGATGATCAGTGGGACAGGATTGACAAGAGACCCCCACCTATTGAAGCATAACAGTTGCCAACATCCATTCTAACCTCTCTTTACGGTAATTCAACTTCAATGCTACCTTACTCGATGTCGGGACTTCCAATTCATGCGAGCTTATTCGAATTCGCCAAAATGGATACACGGTGACTTTTCATGCACTCTGGGGCTCGAAAACAAAGCGTGTATCTTGTGCGCTTAGTACAAAGAGCAAAAGGCTTCACACTAACTACTAATAGGATCTAACAGTGGCCGTTGACCCGATCTCCTCTCAAAAATCAAATCTCGAGAAAAGCAAACACCCTCTACAATCATTTGCACTCATTTGAGAACAATTGAGAGCCATAAAACCTATATCCGTCCCCGTAAATTGCGATGCCCACACAGCGATGCGTCGACATAAGCATGTTTTTGTTATGGGGTGAACTGAGCCTCCACTGCCTGAAAAAACCATCTGAAACAGTCCCCCAATCATACATGCCGTATCTGTAGAACATTCATTTTTCGAAAGAAGGCATTAGTGATGCAAAGGCGCAAGGACAATGTATGTAAATTACTATGGGAATATTGAAACTTACGCATAGGCCACGTTCTCCCACCCCTTATACTTTGAGTGATGGAGTGATTTTCTTCTGAACATCTTGTGAGCATGTGCTTGAGCTTGTCTGGCAAGTTTCCCGTTCCAAGCGACTGAATGTCGACCTTTCGAGCGTCTATACCCATTCACAATAGCCATATTCTTTTTCGCGCAGTCTGAGCATGATCTTTGAATGGTTTCTGCGTATGCAATGGAAACCAGAATGACGAGTACAAGAATTGCTTTGGGCATCATGTTGAAATAATGCTTTTTGAGTTCGACGAAAGTTGTTGATCACGAGTTGGTGTCTATGCGAAAGACAATGCTGGTCAAAGTCCCGTACCACTTATTCTTTTATAGTGTTCTTTCGAGTCTATCAAGCCGTCCCTACAACCCTCTCCCTCGTGAAAAACCATCCCACAATTCAAAAGACTGTGCATTGTGAAGCCCTATTCAGAGAAACGGAGAAGAGACTGTGGGTAATAATTAGCAATTGACGTTGCGGCTAAAACAATGGGATGGAAAATTGAACGGGAAAAATCGCTTTTCTGTGTCCACGTCTTCGCTTGCTTTGTACAACGTCGAGATTGAACCACCTATGAAACATCCATCAACACGCAAGATGGGGGTCGATCCCAGCACAAGTGATATTAATAGTATTGGAGAGGGTCTGTGTGTTAGGGCACATATCATAAACATGTGGTTATGTGGTGGGCCTCGGTGAGCAGAGCCATACAATTGGGATGGAGATTGGCGTTTCGTTGATAGAGGATCTTTTTTTGCTTTTGTGTGATATCAAGTGACATCTTATCATGCGCTGCTGGTTGTCGTCCGCCCAATGCGGAAAAAATGTTACTTCACTCAGCGGAGAAGAAGCAGATGAAATTTGTATTCAATGAAATACTTTCTTGTTGAAATTGTGACGCTCCTCTTGTTGAAGTCTGCGAGATTACGAGTGCTTTAGAATACCTCGTGCGAAAATTAAATACGTCAACGGGCTGATGGGGAGAAGGGCAATTCGTCCGTACTCTCAGCCATTTACGGATATAAAAAGTTGGAAATGTGAAGACTTTCGTGATTTGGACCTGCTCAAGTATTGACCAAAAAAAACATGTGCCCATTGCGTCTAGAGTGAGCTGTTGAGAAGGCCAACTCCCGCCTTTTTTTATCCAGCATGCTCGTGCTGAACCACCTGTGATGTCTCTTGAACCAAGTCTGGAACAGAGGAAGTATGACCTTGGCAGATTTGTGGTAAAATGAACTCGGTTTTTGACTCTTGGTTCCCATTTAGGCAGACCCAATAATCTCTATAAATTCGTTGGACAACCAAACCTGAAAGTGACAAGGAGACTCTCCGTTTCCTGCTAAAAGAAACTGAAGAAGTGCGGTGGACAAACTAGTACTCACCAAGAAACAAACACTTTAATGCACGTTCAAAACTGCATCTCCTCCGTACGGACTGCAAGGGCAAACACAATTAACACTGATAGGATGCTGAAACAAGAGGCACTTCTGTTCGCCATTGAGCTTGCGATTAACGGGACATACATCAACTCACGGCGGACACGTGCCTGTGTTTCAGCGAGTGTTTACCAGGCCGACTGCGGACACGTTACAGAAGAGTTATTTAACAGCATAAGTCTCAGAGGTCCGTCACCACATCACTTGCCGCAAATCAGCTTTCTGAAAAGGGCAAGCCAAGTGTCGGCCAGAGTTCTCCTTCTGAACTCAGTGTTTGTAGAAAAAGAGAGTGGATCTGGATGCGAGACCACACCACCTCGATAGGCACAGAACGCTTGCCTTGGTCTCAACCCACGCTTTTGCGCTCTTACAGATGTCTAGTGCGGTGCATGAATTCGGTCACACATCAGCTTGCGACAAACGTCAAAGTTTCGGCCTTCGACGCGTCGTAGCCTCGCAAACCCGCATGGCATCTGCGTGCCCCGCTGTACTGAAATAGACTTTCTTGTGCCCCCAAAAAACCCTTGCACAATCGGTAGACAGGTCCTCGTCTTCCCCGAGTGGCGTTCGCACGCGCGACAGGTGGTTTATCAGATGCGAGAAACCGCAGGGAGAGCGTTGGCTTCTCACTATGACCGGTGCGATGGCGTCATGCGGGGCATATTTCGCCGACAGTGGAACGGAGGCGCATGCTGGTGCGAGATGTTTGTACGCGCGGAGTGGCTTTGATTTGCGGGATGGCCGCGGTGGAAAGAATAGTGCCTGTTAATTGTGCCGAGCTTTGCTGTGATGAGAATGGTCGTCTGTGGTGGGCGAAGCTTTGAAAGCGTCTTCAACGGCACACGAAATACCTGCAGTGCTACAAACGCTGTGCCAGAAAGCATGCATTCAGCTTTGTTGCTGTGAAAGATGTTGTGATTCCTTTTCTCATTCGCTCTAAACTAAAACAATGTGCGTGTGCTCACTTGCTGCACCCACTCTCCCTCGTGATGGAGAATTCTCCCTTGTGTTCTCCTTCTGCTCGCCAAGGTCCGTTGAAGTGCCATCGGCTAAGTAACCGCCAGTCGCCACCTAACTTCGCCACGTGTACAGCAAAAAACAGTTGAGCGCATATTGGCGAATTAGCGGCCGAAAATCTTCCAGAACGCCACCACCGGCTTTTCGCTCCGCCACCGCCTTATATCATGCTCCCCGCCTCGCCGTTACTTAACCCGACCCCTCGCCCACCTCAACCCACCTACACTCCTCTCCCATCCCACGCCATCCTCGTCAAAAGTGGCCGCCTAGTCCCACCATGAAGGCCTCCTTCGCAGCGTCGCTCGCCGCCTACCGCCAAGCCGCGGCGCGCCTCTTCGCCAGGCGCGCAGGGCGCGCGCCGCCCTCACGCAAGGCGCTCACGCCCGCTGCGATGCCCGCCGAGCACGCATACAAGCGGCCCTTGTTCCCCGCGCTCACGGCCTACCTTGCAAAGGCCGCGGGGGAGTTCCGCGACGCACCGCGCGCGGCCATCGCAACGCCGCGGACCGTCACGAAAATCGTGCTGCCGCTCGGGCACGGCGAACTCGTCGTCGCCTTGGCGGGGGAGCGGCGGCGCGCGAGATGGGCACGGCTGCAGGCGGAGCGCATGCACGAAATTCGTGCGTTCGTGGGGCAGAGGGACTACGTGCTCCCGGGCGGCGTGCCGCTGGATGTACGCCAGGGGAAGCATGCGCGCTGGTTGGAGAGGCGCGCAGAAGAGCGGAGACAGGACGCAAGGGAGGTCGTGGAGAGGCGCGTCGGGGGTTTGGAAGCGGGGAGTGAGGAGCTCAGGAGGGTGTGTGGGAGGGGGATTCGCGCTGACCGAAGGGGGTATGTCCAGTTTTTGGCGCGTGCGAGGGAGGGTTTTGACTGCGGGATGCCGGGGTTGCTGAGCATGGGAGGAAAGGGCGTCGCTGTGGGGGACACGTTCGAGGAGGTGCGGAAGCGGTACGCCGGGCGACCGGACGAGCTGTATCGGCGCAAAACGGCGCGCCGGTTTGCGCGGTGGCGGCGGCAGAAGTTGGAGCGGGAGGCGGAGCTGTCGCGGACTGCGTCGCGCGCAGAGAGTGAGATGAAGAGGCGCCGTGGGTACGATCACCTGCTCACGGACCGCAGGGCTGGGGACTCGTCGTTTGCGCCGTTCTTGTATGAGTTGGAAGGGAATGCGTACGCGTTTTCGTCCAAGATTACCGAGGCGCCCAAGCTGAGAAAGGTCATGATTGATAAGTACTCGGCGCGGGATGGGGCGACAGTGACAGATGGATGGGAGAGGGCGCAGCAGGTTGCTGAACAGAATCCCCTATTTCATACTAGGGTGATGAACCGGTTCACTTAGTTTTGACGCGGGCGGTTTTGTCGGCTTTGTAGACCTTGCTTGCGTGTGTGACATTGAACTACACGAAGACTGTTAAGACTCTATTTAAATCGGTGTGTAACTCTAACGGCGCGAGAACCAATTTGGCCGAGAGCAATGAACAACAGCTTTGTAACCATCTTCGCCGACTGCCAGTTCCAAAAATAAGGTGTCGCGACGGGAGCCTTGACCTCATGCCGTCGCCTTCTTCGCCCTCTTTTTCCGTGCTGGCTTGGTGCCTGCCTGCTTCCTCGTCGCGGCCGGGAGGAGATGCTTGACCGCATCGCGTTCCTCCAACAGCTCTTTCCTCGTCGCGTCCATCATGGCAGCCGAGTACTCATCCGGCGACGGTATATCCAACACCCTCTCATAAACGCCATCCCCAGGGCAACGGCACGGAACTGAGTACCAAATGTCCTTATCCATACCATACGACCCATCCGATCGGATCGCCAGGCTCTGCCAAGCATCCCCAGACCCTACATACAGGTCATGAATGTGATCGATCGCAGCTGACGCGGCCGACGTCGCTGAGCTGGCGCCACGAGCGCCGATAATCTCTGCGCCGCGCTTTTGCACGCGCGGAATAAACTCTTCGCGCACCCACTTAGTGTCATTGATGACATCCAGAGCCGGCTTGCCGTTCACAAGCGCATTGGACAGATCGGGATATTGCGTACTTGAGTGGTTTCCCCAGATGACTACACGCTCTACATCCCTCACTGGCGTCCCGGTCTTGATGGCAACCTGGCCCATGGCTCGGTTCTGGTCTAGCCTTGTCATAGCCATGAACTGCGCCGGGTCGATATCCGGAGCGTTTGCCGCGGCGACGAGGGCATTGGTGTTGGCCGGGTTTCCAACGACCAGCACCCTGACGTCCTTCTTGGCGGCGTCGTTGATGGCCTTACCCTGAACTGCGAAGATGGCGGCATTGGCGTTCATCAAGTCCGCACGCTCCATGCCCGGCCCACGCGGGCGGGCGCCGACCAGGACGGCGACATCGGCGTCGCCAAAGCCGGTGTTGGGGTCGGCGGTTTGCGTGATGCCGCGCACGAGCGGAAAGGCGCCGTCCTTGATCTCCATCGCGACACCCTTCAGAGGCTTGAGGCCCTGCTCGGTTTCGAGCAGCTGCAGCTCGACGGGGACGTGCGGGCCGAACATCTGGCCGGAGGCGATACGCATGAGCATAGCGTAGCCGATCGCGCCGGCTGCGCCGGTGACGGCCACCTTCTTGGTGGGCGGCTCCGCGGCCGCGGCAGACAAGCCGCGGCGTGTGGCGGAAGTCAACGAAGATCGGAGCATTGCGAAGCGAGGAGCGGAGGAAGGGAAGTGTGGATGTGAGTAGAAGGAAGGGAGGGGAATGGAACAGGGACCCCGAGGAATGTAACAGGGATGCGTTCGTTGTTTTGATCGTAGATACTAATTTGGAGCGAGTGGCATGCAATTGGTAGAAGTTGAGTTGTGGATTTCTTAACAGATATCTTTCTGAATTGACTTCATATACACACACGCCACATAAGCCACGTGTAAAAGACTGCAACGCTTCCCGCAGTTACGCACGTGCATGTGTACCTAAAGAATCTTCGCCGTTGCACAACGCCTAATGACAAGACTTATGCAGATCCAACAACAAAGGGGAAAGTTGGAGGTACGAGGTCGGCGGCGATTGGCAGTATGCACCGTATGCTGTGGCTTCAATTATGAATACGTCCATACCTTTGGACATCTCTACACTCCTGTCTCATCCTGTCTCAGTTCATGAAAGCAGTGCTCTCTGTAGACAACTCGTGTTCGGAAAGAAGGTATGTATGTCCTGTTCATTCATTTCTGGACGGTTCGTGAAGTACTATAAGTATACATAGTTGGTTTATCAGTACTTTGAGATGAACGAACCTCTTCCGAATAACAATAACATTCTGCGCATTTATGTCAATAGTGGCAAGAGTTGCAAAGAATCGACATGGGTGCACAGCCTCTGACGACTTATCTCACATGTGTCTGTAGACGGTATGGTAGTACGTGTCAAAACTTCTGCCCTGGTCAAGTGATGGATGTGTGTACGTGTACGGCAAGGTCGAGAAACCAACACTATTCCTGCGTACCGGCCTTGCAAAGTGGCGGTCGGTGACTTTTGCTTGCACCGCATGTCCATTAAAGCAGTGATCCTCTCGCCTCGTACCGAAAATCTGCACTCTGGGTGTGTTCAGCGATGCCACTAGATGGCTTCCAAGCACTTTCATTTCGCTCTACCAAGTGCAAATCGCAGCATGACCTTCACTGGCTAGAGTGGCTAGACATGTCAAAATGGCTAGACATGATTCAATTGCAGTATTCATTTCTCAGCATATCAATGTAATCTTTCAACCTGACGATCAACTTAAGAGACGATCGATCAACTTTCTGCCCTCTCCTTTCACTTCTCATGTTTGTTTCTTGGTGTTTCTTGGTGATCTAAATATGCCGTACAGTGTACTCGTCGAATCTGGAACGCCGTAGTCAGAAGTCGTCCGATTCAGATGCAAAAGCTTTCTCCAAAAGTCTCCAAAACGACTGTTCTTCCTCGCTGACATCGACCGTTGATGTGTGCTATTTCCTCTCGCAAAGGCTGCAGCTGCTGCCGTTGCTCGCACGTCATCCAGTACACTCGCATTGGTTTTCGCCACTCGCAGGGCCTCGTCCCGTGCTTCTTGCGCGAGCTCCTTCTCGCGCCGTGCAAGCGATTCAATATGGCTCTCTCGTTGCTTGTAAAGCTTGGTGGAGAGCCCTTCGGTGTTACTTGTGATCGCGTTCAGTTGCTTCGTCAATGCCTCGTTCGCTTCCAACTTCGCATTGAGTCGAGCAACTTCCATTTCTTGCGCACGCGCAATGACTGCACTTGCTTGCAGCTTTTCGGAGAAGCTGCTCTCAGCTTGCTGCAGAGAGTGGATTTCGGTCTTGGCAGACTGAATATCAACCTTCAGCTGTTTCACTTCTTCCGTCTTAGCCTTCAACGTCTGTTGGAGATGAAGCACCAACCTCTCCTTCTCCTGTACGAGAGTAGTGTCACGCTTTTCTTTCTCTGTCTGAGTCCTCACCATAGTGTCCATTTCCCTCAGTATGGCCGAAGACTCGTCACGAAGACGCTTATTATCGGCTTCTTTCTTGGTGAGTTCTTCACGAGCCGCCATCAATTCCTTCCTTGCCCGGTCGAGCTCTGTCACAAGTGTAGAAATCGAAGACGAAGCTTGCCGTTCAGCGCGCATCATTTCGATAGCCTTCTGCAGGCGGTCCAACTCCAAGCGCGCCTCGCGGACCAGCGTACGTGTATTTTCGGATCGAGACTGCTTCCTGCGCAAACCTCCCAATACGCTAATCGTCAAACTGGTTGCTCTGCCATTAGACGGAAGTGAGCGGTACATTGAGCATTGCAAGGCAGCGTTCACTTTGCTCGGATCGAGGCTTGAAAGTCTGGATGAATTATCCCCTTGAGCTCCAGGGCCAGAGGGCTGCTGCGAGGAGCTCATGCCACTCTCGTTTCTTGCATTTTCGTATCCAGATGTGTTTTCGGTGCTATATCCAGAGCTGTCCATTGTGTCTTCAGAGGTGTCAGTTTTTTCGCTCGGCCTAGGGATGGCTCGCATGCCCCCTTCCTGTTTGACAGCCAGCGCAATTTCCTGCACGTTCATTTGGTTTGCGGCAAAGTCAAACTCATCTCCAGCATAAGAGTTTGCTGCCAGCAATTTAGAATCAAGTTCACTGAACGCAGGCAACACGCTTATGCCGCTGTCGACGTCGGTTGAATTGCTTCCATTATTCGTCGCAACTTCGCTGCGGTGGCTTCCGAGTGAAGCATCAGAAGCGTCCACACCACTTGACGAAAAGAGGTGGCTTTCATCATCATCCTCAACAGCGCCGACTTCACGGTCATTCATTTCTTTCATTGCGTCCATGATGCCCTTGACGGATTCTACGATATCTGACCACGTCAGCCTCACTCCTATTTCGTCAAACAGGTGATCACAAACGACGTTCTCGTCAAAGACAGGAGTTGCCCTACTGCATTCCATCAAGACTGTCTTCACACTATCGCTCATGTTACTTGTCGCTGCACTCTTCGGCGTCGTTTCCGGCGATGAATCATCAAGATCATTTGTTGAACTCACAAACATTGATGCCAACTGCTTGTTAGCAATCTCAAGTCTGTCGCTGAGCTCAGACTTCTGTCGTTTCAGTTGCGCAATGTCTCTTTCCTTGTCCTCCACGCTATTAGTGAGGTTATCTGAGAGTACAGCGAATTGCTGTACCCGCTCGTTGGCAGTCCGCAACTGCAACTCGATGTAGTCATTATGCTTGTTAATTCGCTCTTCATTTTCCCGGAAGGCGGAGAGCTGCGTCTCGAGCTCTCTGGTAGTGTGTCGCAAATTAGCATTCTCCTCAAGTCGCTTGGTCGCCCTTTGGAGACTGGCCTGCAGCTGTTCCACCGTGGCGGCCTTTGACTTCAGTACGTCAACTTCTTCCGCAGCCACATGCACCTGCCGAAGCTCGTTTTGGGCATTAACAAGCGCTACAGTCTTTGCTTCCAGCTGACTGTCCTTTTGTCGTGAAAGTTGACCAAGCTCGAGGACCTTGTCACCAGCCTCGTCAAGCCTGCCCTTCAAATCAGTAACATCCTCAACCATTCTCGAACGTTCCTTCTCTGAGTTAGCAAGCTTCTTCCTCAGCACGTCCCGTTCCGCCGCCAGAGCCTTGTAGTCGGCGAGCGGAATTCCCACCGAGGCCGTCAGGCGCGCGTCTCCCTTGGCGATCTGCTGCGCATACTGCGTCGCGGAATCGGTTCTATTCTCATCATTCACGGATACCGAACGCAAAACCTTTTCGTCTCTCGTTTCCGGGTCCTGGAACGTCCTCTTAATCGAAAGCTGTAGCAAGTCCTGTTGCGGCATAGGCAGGCCAATAACAGCCTTGATGAAAGCCTCGTTCTCTGCACAGTGGACGGCAGCGCAAAGCGCAACTTCGGATACCGCGAGTAAATCCATGGGGCTATCCAGCCCAACGTCGGTCTCTGTGAACATGGTGATCTGAGCGGCCAATGCGGGCGCCAAGTGGACCGGTGGCGCTGACGACTTAGTCCCCGCGGAAGAATCGCGCCCTGGAGAGGAGGAGCGCACTGTGAGGCCGTACCATTCAGCCAAGGCGCGCGTTAGACGGCGGGAGTTGTACCGGCCCTGGCGCTTCGTGGTTGGAGAGACGGGGCCGGAGGTGTTGAAGAAGTCACGCCTGGAGAAATGGTTGGGCGCGAAGCGGCACATGAGCTTGCACAACGGCACGCAGTCCTGCACGCACTCTTCGAGGGGGGCGTCGGCGGAGGGGATAAGACCCAGGGCGTGAAGCCAAGCAGTGATCGCGGAAGAGATTGAAAGGTCCAGACCTTCCAGAGGGGCGTGCTCGGAGGTGGTGGCGCTGAGTGTCGCCATTGTGGGGGAGCGCAACCACAGACAGCAGGGGGGAAGGGTACGTCGGTTTGACGGGTCGGGCAGTCGGGCACTGCTGTGTGCGCAGGCGGTGATAGGTGAGCCTGCAGGAGAGTGAATGGCGGGACGAGTGAAGGTTTGATTGAGATGAAGGCGAAGGGGGGTGCGAGCAGGAGACCTTTATGGGGTCGGGCACACGAGCGCGATGCAACTGTATTCGAGAAGCATACAAGAGGTCGCACGGGATTGCGGCGAATTGGAGAACGGGGGCGGGTGCGAAGTTAGTGCTTGGGGGTTGCGGGGGTTTGTAAGAAGGAGGCTTAGGAAAAGCGGGACGCGTGGGATTCAAATTGGCTGGAGTTTAATTTTGAATTATTGACGCAACGACTCTTGATGGCACCGCTCCGTTTTGAACGTTCAAATTTTCAATCACGGGCCGCTTTTCATGTATGGCGTTGATGCGCAAGAATGCATTACTCCATCGCCGGAATTCGGACGAGTAACGCTAATTACGTGGCCCTCTTTCACGGCACTTTGGCGACGTTTCATGGGTCTGACGCTCTGAACTGATCGGGACGGAAACTCAGCGCTGGCCTTTCGAAACAGGCTCCTGTCGAAGCGTCACCTTTCCGACAGCATGGACGGACTGTGAATCTGTTTGTGGCATTTCTATTTACAGCCGTGCGGGGGACTCTTTTTGAAGCTTGTTTCTTGGGGTTTGTGGCGCTCGACAAGTGGCATAAAATACTAAACCGGAGAGGACTTTCATCTAGACTCATGCAGATCATATGAGTGGCATCACGTCAAGAACGCTCAAGATCGGACATGCAAGATCTTGTACAAGTATGTCCCCCGCGGTACAAGTCGCAGTCACACAGTGACTGCTCCTTCTACAGCCCATGGCACCCATCCCCGAAAATTCAACCCCAAAACCATCTTTCACGCCGACCTCATCCAAGTTTAAAAACGGCTAGTTATCATACATACACCACACTAAATCCACCGCACACCCGCCAACGCGCCAGTGCGAACCGCGGGCCGCCAATGCGTCCCGGACATGCTCCCGCTCCCTCTTACCGCTCGTTACGTTCGAAAGGCGCCATCGCAGCCGTCCGCTCCCGCTCTACTTCAACCCTGACACGCGCACCACCAAGACGCAGATTATACGCCGCGTCCGCGGCGCACGTATCCGCCCCCGGACACCCGTCCCGCCGCAACCGCTTGATACGCGCCATGCAACTTCATACAGCCCATGCGATGCGGGCCGCGCACACGCGGCACCATTCCCAAACGTTCGCACAGCACGTGCTCGCCCCCCTGCTGAGCGCGCGCCATACTACAACGCCCTTGCGTCGAACGCCTCGTCTTTCAAAGGCCTGAAATAGTGACCGGGTGCGTAGCTCGCAACGTTGCCCCTTCCGCGACGCTTCCGAACCGTCGGCTTCACCGCCTCTGCCCCGGCCGAAATGGAGCCTTGCGTGTCGGGCGGGGGGGGGGGGGGGGAAAAAAGAAAAAA